GTAAGTAGTAGTAGTGTGTGTGTGTGTGTGTGTGTGTGTGTGTGTGTGTGTGTGTGTGTGTGTGTGTGTGTGTGTGTGTGTGTGTGTGTGTCTGGCACTCCGTTTTTACGATCTACGTGCATCTGCGCAAATTAGTTGTGATTTCCCGATCGATTGATTTTATTATCAGATTCGTGCTTTCTGAAAATTGTTGGAATTACTGAAAAATTTTTAGTAACGACCTTCCACAGCATGATGTATAATCTCCACGGGCCTCATTATACGCGCGATATCGATATATCAGTCCGCGTGCGCGATTCTCATCTAAAAATAACAGGCCGCACGCAAATAGCTTGCATATGCATTGGGCCTAACAACACGCTGCTATTTACGCCCGCCTGAAAGCAGGCCAGTCAAATTAGAATTACCTCTTTAATTAAAAACAAATTTCTTTTATTTATTTATTCATTCATTCAACGCTGTTACGCGTTACAGGATGGTATGTTCACGTCGCGTCTAATCAACATTCTGAAAGTCACAAAAATTGCAATTTTCGAAAGATTACTCGATTCACGACTGTAATGATGCAAAAATTAACAATTAAAGAGTTTTCAGATTTAAATCAACTTAATGTATTATCATTTTAAATGTAACACAATTTTTATGATTTCTTAATTTAATTTTCGGTGATTTAGTTTTCTGTTACATAGAAATTGAACAAAAAGAAAAGAAAAAATTGTAATATTAAAGAAAGGGATCCTTCGAGAAGAAATTCAAGAGTAGAGAGTTATATTCGTTGTGATTTCAGCTTCAACTGGATATGCAGCTAGTGTAAAAAAGCAGATTTCTCCGTGAAATCTCTCTTCAGATTAAAATGACTCTTATCTCGCTTATTCGCTCTCATCTTCTTTTCCCGACTATTTCCGATTGAGCATCAGATTAGTAATAGTATGATAATAGATAATAATGGATACTACAGTGCCGATCAATAGGATTACTCGAGCAATTAAATATTTACAGCGGCGTTTCGTGCAGCACGACTTCATTAGTCGACCGTCTAACGATTGTATAAACGGCGTGGCATTAAAGCCGCACGAAGATTGCATTATTCGTTATGATCATGCAACGATCGTGCGCGGTTGAAAAGTTTAAATATTTACTTTTTCACACTACTGAATTTTAAATTGAAAAGATTAGAGATTTTATATTTCATAAAAAGTAATGTCAAATGCAGCGATATAAAATTATCTTTAAACGTCCTTAAAAGTATATGCACTTTTAAAGCTATTGTCAAAAAAAATTTAAGAAAAGAGAGAAAGAAATTAATATCGTGTATATATATATATATATATATATATATATGTGTGTGTGTGTGTGTGTGTGTGTGTGTGTGTGTGTAGTACATACACATGTTATATACTAAAAAAATTAAAGACAAGTCTTTATGGAATATCAATCGTGTTAATAACTCGATGTTCTCATGTTCTCAAAGTACTATTGTTTTTAATATTGTAATTATAATTATAATTAAAATATTAAAAATGAGAGCACAAAAATGTATATATACAATCGTCCGGAAAATAATTGTGAAAACATCATGTGGATATCGTCTATTTTCGGTATGAAGGAAAAATAGATATACGTTTCCGGAAATGAATAGCGTGTCCAATATGACAACAGTACCATCGGGTGCAAAATGAAAGACGCAATTCCATGGCAATTTCCGACAGTAGCGTTTCAACTTTTGCATCGTCAAAAGTTTGATAGCGCGGCTTATTATCAAGAAATTCCGTGTGCACAATGAAAGTATCATGTGTTTTAAGCGCATTGACACAACGAACAAACCTCAAATACTTTAGATTGACCATCGGCATTTTAACTATTTTATTCTATAACTCCAATTTTTTTCGTATTTAAAAAAATTTATATAACATGTAACATGTACTAATTTTTAATAATTTTTAATTATAGAATAGAACTTTTAATATATAAGATCTATATATATATATATATATAAGATAATATATCAGATATCTTGACTTTGTTTTATTATATTATAAAATACTTGATTTTTTTTGCCTTTTCACAAGATTTATGTCAGCGTATGATTCTTATTAAATGAGAAAAACTGTCTCGATAATGGCAAATATCGTTGTATACATTTAATGTCATTTATGCCATTAAAGAGATAACTGACACATTTATCAAAATTTTTTTCAAATAAGGGACAATTATTTCTTGCAAAGAAGAAAATGGCGATTAAGGAAATTATATATTAGAATTTGTGGATTATATAGAAAAATACGTAAAATTATGATACAGGAAAATATCATAGTTTATTTTTATTTTTATATATTATATAATTTTAGCATATTTTACAATCATCTATTATTCATATTTATCTCGTAAATTCGATTATGTAGTATAGTTTTATGAAAATTATGCAAGTTTGTAATGTATTAGTTCATTTTAAGTAGATGCATCTTCACACTTATCATTTGTAAAGCTATTTCGCGACATGAGGAGATTTAATTTCAGATATATAAGAAATATAACCTCATAAATCTTATAAAAGGGAGGATATAAAGCCATTTTTGGATCAAAGTTAACATTTAAAAGTAAATTAATCATTAGAACATGTTTATGATCTTCTAGAAACAAAAAAAAAACAATTATTTGTCAAAGTTGGGAAAAGTTATGTTTGATCATTTTTAGATAAAACAAATTAAGTACACATACACATAGGGAAGATAAAAATTCTCTATATTTACTACTCACTTTTCAATAAATAAATGCAATTGATTTTATTTTAAAGGATATAATGCTTTGCAATAATTATTTCAGCTAATAATAATAAATTTTAATTTTCATGACTTTCCTAGGCCCTAAAAAACAAATAATCATTATTTTCTGTTTCTAAAAAATCACATAAATATATGTTTTAATGATCAACTTAGACACCCTAGATACTTTCATTCAAAATTTAAGTCTTCGTAACAAGACGAACGAAAATTTTAGAAATTCTAGAAATGATTTATTGAATTTATTAATTTAAAATTCATAAAATTAGACGCTCAACATCTTGTCCGATCGTATATGCCTGGCATATATCTCTCGCTATTGTTAATATTCTTCTTTTCTAGTTTATTTATAAGCGTACAAAGTATAAATTTTTGTACATCATTTCTTCGATCAGGATTCTTGATTCTCACAAATAACAACTAAATGGAAGGATCAAATATTAAATGGAAGGATCTAATATTAAAAAGTAACGTGCGAAAAGTATTCTGTGCAAGACTCTCTATAAGAAATAAAAAGAAAAAGAGAAACCTATATAAAAGTTTTATAACATAACTTATTATTATTATTTTGTAACTTATTCAATTATTCATTTAAAAAGAGAATCGAACGAAAATAAGTGGAAAGCGTTACAAGAAAGATAAAAAAGCGAAAGAACTTACGTTTTATTCACGACGATCGATTTGTTTCGCGGATACGTTGCCGCGTTTTGTTTTGATAATGAATTATCTAAAAGGCTGCAGTGCTTTGCGACAGTTTGAAAGAAATGAAAAACAGCCTATTGAATAATGTACGAATCTGCATCTTTTTCGATGGATAATGTGTCCACTTCTCTAATCCTTCGAACAGTTGATATTCGTTCAATATATATTTTTCTCTACAGGACACCAAACTGAAGATAAAAATATATTCATATATAATGCTAATTATTAATATTCCAGATATATTACTCTGTACATAAATTACATAAGAAAATTATAAAAGAAAAAATGTAAGAAATTAACGTAAGAAAAATATAAAAAAAAGCTATTGATTAAGCAAATAAAGATAATCACAAAACAGAATATCATAATAAATCGCAGATTGGTTCTGCGATTAGATTTTGTGCGACTATTAAGATTTCATATCAAAATATCTTTTCATTTCGTCTAACAAGCGAACATGATCAAGTTCTCCCTCCGATTTTTATGAGCTTATGTTAAAATATAGATAAAAATAAAAGATATGTTTTTTTATATCCGAATTCTGAAAACGATTTTCTTATCATTATTTTCAGCGTAAAATGCTCTTTAATTTTTGTCCTCATAAAAATTTCAAATTTTTTAAAAATTGAGAATGGGATGGAAAAATTCGAATACATTGTTGTAAAGCGCATTTGCAACAATAAAAGTTTTATTGAAAATATACTTTCATATCTTTGATTGGTTTAGAGATATTCACTCAGGAAAAACTGAGGGGAAGTTTCATCTTCTTCTTAAGAGAAACGCATTTCTTCTAGAAAAACGCATTTTTGAGAAATGACCAAGAAATATAAATTCCATACGTATTCATCTCATAATGCTATCCCGCATTGTTTGCGCATTGGTTACAAAAATACTAGAATTATTTGATAGAAAGCATATATGCACATCTTCACATATTTATTTTTATATTCTATTGAATTATAGAAATATAAAATACGCGAAACATGGAAGCTTCAAGAATAATTCTAGTTATCTTATAATTCTAGTATTTTATGAAAATAAATGCATTCTTGACTTTATGCAAAAGTGTATTTTCATGTTTTATGACGCTTTGCTTCATTATGAAAGATTTATATTAAAACTGTAATACTAATTTATTTATTCCTGTTATTGTTTCTTTACCTACAAATAATGTGTGTATATTTTTATAAATATAAATATGATATATGTAAAAAATACTTTAAAAAATAAAATACATATGATATAAAAGACAAAAAAAAGTTATAAGTACGTGGAATAAAATTGAAAAAAAAATAAGTACGTACAATAATCATACATAAAAAGTCAATACATAAAAAATATATAAGAAACAAAAGATACAACATTATTAAATGTAATAAAAACACATAATGAGAGACAGAAAAGAAAATTACGTAAGAAAATAAAAGTATAAAAATTAATCTGTAAAGTGTAAGAAAATTGATAATTGTTATAAGATCTTGTCACTTAGTAATTAATTAATTATGAATTTTTCTCGTCAATGATAAAAATATAAAAAGTATCAACTGTCTTGTGGAAGAATATACAAAATTCTTTTAACGACAGCCAAATCGAATATTTTCGAGATATACTCGACTGCTGACACTTATTATATTCATAAGATTTGGCCAACAACGTGTAATAAAATCAGATATCTGTTTCACGAGCAAAAATCAAAGATTGCGCTCGATAAACAACCCGATTCTAGTGAGCGCCGTTCAATTACAGGGAAAACCCGCGACAGCATTGAGGATTTGGGATATGGTAGATGTCAAAGACCATGACGCCAAAATCGATGCCCAACGAAGAATGGAAACAGAGCTATTCCTAATAAACTACTTTCTGACGCGAAATTTTACTCATGTCTTCTAACATTTAAATGTTGATAGCGAACAAATATACATACATTGTTAAGATCTTGGAGTGATCCGTGTTTTTGGAAATCGTTGATAAGAGATATATCAACGGGAAAATCTGTTAATCGTAGAACATCAGAAATGATCGTTCAGGAACGATCTTGAACGTAAGTGAATACTCACACAGCAAAATGGTAGACGAAACACAGCCAGCCACCGGGATGCTCGAGAAATACGTAGAGACGTTCCTGAAAGGTCTTGCCTCTCTTATGATGAAACACGTACTTGGCCTTGAAAGCCTGATCGATGGGCAGATAAATCGGATAGTAAGGATCGGGCATGCCAGTTTGATCGGGACTTGGTGGTTCCTCCTCGGCACCGGCCACATCATTGTCGATAATGTCCTCCTTGCTCTTTTTGCGTCGGTATTTCCGCTTCATAGGCGTCGGCACTCGCTTGTGGTGCGCCTCGCCGAAGCGCGGTGAACGGAAACGACGTAGGAAAGTAAAACGCCGTGCGGGTGACGATTGCTCTTCCGCGTTCGCGCCGTTGTCTTCGGTATCCTCGGTCTCGCTACCGGGCGTCTTTAACGCGGCATCCTCCGTCTCGAGGGCCTGCTCGGCCACGAGTTCATCTTCGCTACCCTGAAGAGCGGCATATGCGGCGCTGCACCGCTTTTCGGCATGCCTAGAGCATGGCTCCTTGCTTCGTGGAAGACTCTCATTGTTGTACGTGTCACCTGGACATTTCCACCAGGATTAAGGCATTGAGGCCAGGTTTGAGCCACAAAATCACGCCACGATCGCGATATATTTTTCATGACATTTTCATGACGTTTGATCCTCGAGGCTCATAAAAGTAAAAGCGATAAATAAATACTAAATACCGATCGTGAGAAGAATTAAACGTTGTTCCATTAAATCTTTGCGTCGCAAAGATTACAAGTTCTGCTTTATTATCGTTACATATATTATACGATAACGTTGATTACACATCATAGCTGTGAGGATAATTTCGTGATTTTATGTTTTCGAGATGATTATCAATGGAAGGATTCCATTTGAGAATTGATAAACTTCGAATGAGACGTCAACAGTAAATAGATAGATCAGTCATCGTGTGGAAATTATTCAAATATTTGACACGACCAGAGTGAGGCATTTGCAATTTTAACCACTAGAGAACCACAGAATAATATTCTCATCGCATAATACGCGTGCGTAAACCCATCTACGATCGAGAAGTTTATTTATGAAATAGAATTGGTAATAACATTTGTTATTAAATGCACATTTATTTTAAGGAACAATGTGAAGATGAATAAAAAAATTTAAGCAAAACTTTAAATAAACTTTTGCAATTTTAAGTAGTAGTAACTGTAATTTTAATTCAATTTTTTTTATTTCGCTACATTATGAAAAAATATTTTTTAAATCCACACAAAAGAAATTAAGTACATCATTATTTTTTGTAATTACATATTTTTATCTTGAAAACAATTTCAATTTTCACAATGCTTTATCAAGTCATAATTTTCAAAAATTTTTTAACTGATGAAAAGCTAAGTGAAGAGCTAATGCTGCCTTTTGATAAACTCAGTGGAACTATCATTGCACTAAAACAATTAAATAATTAACTTAAACTCGATATATCAGATTACAACTTGCGCTTTCTCTTATGATGGTACCATTTTTCATTTTACTGACAGCAAAGTTTTAGCGCTGCGGAAATGTTACATAGAAAGCGAAGGAAAAATTCAGACGAGAATTTAGAGATAAGTAATGAAAAGTTCACTTTGAATGACTTATTAATTTTTGCGAGATCATTGAAGAGCATTTCAAATGGAACATGTTGTTTTTAATTTTAGAATAAAATAAATTTATTTTATTATATCTTAACTATAGTAATTTGTATTAAAATATCTTTTGTTTATATCTAAAATTTTTCAAAATTGTTATAATTGAATATTTATAGATCTAAAATTGCAAATGTAAAAAAATTACTAGAAAAGATTATTCTTTCGAGTTTTATTTTTACTGACCTATATAAAGAATCATTGACCGTTACAAAAAAAAGATTTGGAAATTTCATTTATCGGACAACATGATTGAGAGAAAGCGTAATATGTGATATATACATAC